TTGTCCTAAGCTCAATTAAAGCCCCTTAACTAAAGACTAAGCTAGTAATTACCATAACCATATAGTAGTTTAACCTCATTACACATAAATAACTTTATAATCACATTGCTAATCGACATAGAAAAGATTCTAGCTCAACCATTGAAGAAAAAAAAAACTCAATTCAAAGCCTAAATGAATAACCTCATCTCCTGCATCGAGTGATCGTGGAACATCCCCTGGTGGAAGGATGGACAGGGCCATGAGCGTTGAAACATTTTTAGTATAAAAAGACCTGCCTGACCTTGATGGGCATGGTATTCTGTTAGCGGAAAGAGGCCTGTACGAAATGTAATATCTCATTCTCTTTCAAAACAAAGATCTACCACTATACGCACTTTCCTGTTTATCATCTATCCCCTCATCATCTTCCTCATTATTGTTTAAGTCACTGTAAAACGACATTGAAAGTGGCCATTCTAGAGCATCTTATCTCATCACCTTCAAGCTTGTCTCTTCAACTTGAGCTTCAACTTTCGAGCTTGAGAAGACAATGTAAGTAATGAAAAGGAGAAAAAGGAGCTTGCCCAGAAGTGAAGATGAAGAAGAAGCCATTGTTTAGTAACTAGTTGCAAAGCTAGTGGAGATTGTTGAAGAAGAGATAAGAATGGGGTCACCTGGAACAGAGAGGTGATTGGGTTTACATCCATGCGTGCCTCGGCTTTTGGACTTATCAAAGGGAATTGTCATCTTCTGTGTGTTGGAGTTCATGCTTTTGGATCGGTTTTGGCCGTCCGATTTTTATTTGTGTGGGTCCATCGTATGGGTATGTGTTAAAGACTAGAGTGGCCAATAATAGGGGATATGGTACAGATGTGAAGCATGGGATGATGAAAAAAGCTAGAAAAATATCCAAATTTGAAAGTTATTGTTTAAATATATATTTTATTTTTATTATTTTGATAAAAATATATTATTTAATAATTAATTTATTTATAAATATCACTTATAATTTTAAATAAAACTATTTATTTGATGTGTTTTTTTAATTAATAAATTTTATAATTTTATAAAATTCTTTTGTTAACATATTGCTTTCATGTGTATTTTATTATATTAATAAATATAATAGGATATGTCTTAAAAAAATAAGATCAAGTATAGTATTAGTTATTTTTTAAAACTATATTTTAAGATCCATTGAAAATAGACAACATAAAATTTAGAATTGAAAATGAAAACTTTATAAATTAATAAAAATTTAAAGAGAAAATTAATAATATATAAAAATTATTAAAAATATTATTTTATAATAAAAATATGATCAATACTTATTTAATTATGAAAAATTTTATTAAAATTTTTAATAAAAAATATCTATAAAAGTATACTAAATATTATTAAAATTATTTCAAAATTTATACAATTAATCTATACAACGAAGCTACTCAATTTATTGATTTATATTTTTAATTTTTTATATTATTAATTTTAATAAAAATTTCATAAACTTTATGAAAAAGACCTTGAAATCTTTAAAAAAAAACAAAAAGGAGTAACTTGAAGTATTGGCAATGAAATATATGAAATTGGGCCAAGGATGAACCACAATATCACCGGATCGACTGGGCTAATTTAAGTCGCCTTTGGATTCCTATTTCTTGGATGATGAGTCGAGGGCATTTCATAGAAACTTGGGCCAAGTAAAAGCCTTCAATAGAGCTCTGGGTCAGTAGGAATAATAGACTTGCGGTTCGGTTTTTTCAGTTTCTGGGAAAAGAAAAAACCTTAAATGCAGGTCACACTCACACCCCATGCCACACAAGCTCACAAATCAGAAGTTCAGGCGCCTTATCCATTAAACCATTAGTGCCACTGAAATAAAAATATTTACAGCTTCAAATTATTTTTCTTATATTTAGATTTTTAGAGATTAAATTTTAATTATTAAAATTAAGAATCTAACTCTTTATTAGCAGTTTGACATACTAAGCTGAATCTAACCTCTATTTTTTGCAGTCTTTCTTCTCTTATATCCTTCAACAAAGGAACCAACCTTCATTTGCTTGTTTTCTTATCGTTATCCATAACTTCATTAAACAATACTGAAGAATCTATCTCAAAAACAACTCTCTGAAAATCCTAAGCTATTGTGGAGTTGATCCTTGTTTTAAGACCTTTGTTTCTGCCATAAGTGCCGAATCCACCAGCACACTTTACTATTATTATTGTTATTGTCTTTTTTTTTTTATTTTGTTAAGTAATCTACTAATTAGTAGAAGCATGTGTCGTGTTTAGTTTGGTCAGGCATCTGAATTTGATTCCATTCAAATTGTATTTGATTATTACTTCATCTAGTAAATATATATAATATATATATATAATTATGTCAATTAAGGAACTTTTTACTTGTAGGTTATACATTGGAATTAACTTGGAAAGAAAGAAAAAGAAAGCAAACCCAAAATTTTAATCTCTTTGTCTTAAATGGTTGAGTTTGGTTAGGCCAGCTGATGGCTTATCGAAGTGGTTGATGACACATTTATTCAAGCTATACATCTTTGATAAGCTTGGTTACTATTTAAACCCTTGGATTTAATTTATTATAGAATTAGACATATGTTTATTGTTTATATGGTGTTATTTTACGTCTAATAAATATCTAATTTCATGCAATATTATATTCAAGTTGAGCTATTCTATTTACTATCAATTGATTTTAAATTGAATATTTAACATGATATTAGAGTTAAAATTAACAAGGTGTCAAAGTTAAGATTTTTTTTTATTTTTTTTTTCAAATCTATCATATGATAAACTTATTTTATCTCTACTTATACATGATAAGGTATGCTAAAATATATTATCTTATATATAATAAAATTTTAATATATTATAAGCTTAGATTGAATCTTTTTATTTATTATGAATTAATTTTAAATTAAATTCTTAATATTTATCAGAAACAAATATCTTCATCTCATTTATGTCTATAAGCACCATAACTTTCACAACATATCATGACAACTGGAGCGATAGACTCACAGAACGACTAGTCTCATCGGTTTTTGTGTTCCATTTTCGATATTGTCATCTTTAGATTCTGTTCACTGTGCAAAAAATTGCTAGATATCGGATAAAGAGAACCCTCAAGAACTTGCCACTTAAGTCCAATTTCAGTTGGATAAACCGATTGGATCCAAAGAGCTTTAGTCTACCAATTGAACTATTGGGAGAGTTGTTTGGAGTCTGGACCTAGAGTTTTCAATAAATTAAGTTGGACCGTCCAGGCCTTAATTGGTACTTTGCCAGAGTTGAACGACACGGCATTTATGAATGGATCACTATTTCTTTAGTTCCTATAGGGACACGAGAAATTTGAAGACACTGACTCTGTTTCATCATTGAAGCAATCCAACATGAAGATAGGTCACTTTATTTTCTCCGTCAAGTTTCAAAGTTTAAAGTTCTCTTTGTGTAGCTTTTGTTTTTATGAATGCATTAAAAAGAAGGTTCTCTTTATCTGAATAAAGCTCGGAAACGGGCTCTCTCTAGTGTGACTAGTGAATTGGATGATCAAAGTTTGACAATCCGAAAAAGTTGAATTTCCTTTGTGACTTATGTTTTGTTCATTTTGGAAACCAGTAAAAAAAAAAAAAAAGGAGATCCAATCTTAAGTGAAGATTGAAGAATATATATCAGTGAAAAAAAAACCGAAAGATTCATGAGGATATGGAACCACTTTCTTAACATTAATGTAATCATATCTGTAAGTTTTCTTGAATAACAAAATGTAATCAAAATACTGTTTTCTACTACAATCATTTTTAGCAGTGCCCTTTTTTTAATTATTATTTTTCATTCTAATTTGGGTCCATGGCCTGGGGGGCACCAGGAGATAGGGGAAGTTGTCTGATGCGGATGCAGAATATTTAAATATTGTTTCTCAGTTACTGGAAAAATTTTGAATCTCAGACCTCCTTGTGCACTACAAATGTACTTGTCATGGTCCTTTTTACAGTCTCATTTTCACTGTATACAGTGAGTTTCATGTTCTTATCTTGCAAGAAAAAATACACAGATAAATGTAGGTGGGCCGTTTTTTATTATTAGAAATGCAAATGCCCCCTAACTGAACGGTGGAGATAAGATTAAGAACCCACTAAATAAAACATCAATGATACTCACTTTGAATCTTTTCTCCAATATTGATTTTTTTGTCTCATTTTATGTGTTTTATTTTTTTATTTTTTGTCAAACAGATATAATTTGAATTTTATTTTTTAAATAATATATTGAATTAAAAATTTTGAAACTCTAAATTTGTGAATTTAATTTTAATTTTTGAATTTTATTAAAAATAATGGTTAAAATTGAGTTAATTTAGTAAAAAAAATAAAATAAAAAACCATTATTTTATAAACTAAAAGCAATCTAGTTTAGTTAATTTTCGTGTCATGATGACATGATCTCTTACACAAATTAACTCAACTCCTTTTCAAATCGATCAAAAATTTTATTTTACGTCACTTTTTTCTTTCTCTATATATAAAGGTTGATGAAAACTGGAAAGCAACCTAACGGATGCAAGTGTCAGTTAAATACCACCCGGAAGGAAGGAGCATTTGCGCACTTGCAGTGGGGGTCCGCATCACCGTCACCTTCTAATCCACCTTGAAAAGTGTGCCAAAGGAAAGCAGTGATGGAAGAGAGACCAAAACTGCATCGACTGCAAATGTATATCATCACCGCCTTAGGATTTGTCCAGGCTAGAATAATACACTTAGTAAAATTCCAAATCGAAGATTGATCCCTTAGCCCCACTTCGCAGCTGCTGTCTCACTGGCATCAAAGTGTCTCCCAATGTCACCGGAATCTTTCTTTGGCACGAGAGTCCGCTAAACGGTTTCCCTTCTGACAAATGTCATGTGAGACTGTGGGGTTTCATGGTCTTCTTTCAACAAAGTTAAAAAAAAAAAAAAATGAAGAGACAGCAATGACAGCATGCAAAGCAAGCACTTTCTTTCGGTACTCAAAGGCGCAGTACATAAAAACAAAGTGGTTCATGCACCATATTCGAATATTTCCCTTAATTCAAGCCATCGAATTTGTGGGCCTAAAAGCGTGACCAACCTGATCTTTTACACGTGTTGGCTTTGAACTTTCAGTTGGTGTTCCGAGTCACTTGATCGGATGGTTGATAGATCAGTGAATTGAGTTGGCCCCACATAATGGGCAGTCACTATCAGAGATCACATATTCAATCATAAATGAGTTTTGGTAGAGGGGACTTTCCCATCAGCTTTGCATGAATTTAAAAAATTTGGTCACGTTGCTATGTAAAGCCCTTCCACTTGCTGGATATTGGAGGTACTTTTTATTACACTTTTCATCTCACCTTGTCTCTCTGAACATATCTCTTATTAAAACCCTAATTCTATAAAATCTATATCTTCAGCTCCTCTCAGCACCCCCCATCCCTCTGCCATTCTATCTTTCACAATTATCATCCCCGACTTCCCCATATCTCTTTCTCTCAACGCACGCACGCACGCACACAGAAAGTGTAGGACTTTTAAAGGGGAAGAGTAGTAGTTTGGGTGAGATTCAATGGATGTTGACATGATGAAATCCTCAACAGAAGATCACATGGATATGATGACAATGATGATGCAAATGGAAAAGCTTCCTGAATTCTGTGAGCTTTTCCAGAGCACTTCCCCATTGCCTAATATCCACTTCTCCAATGGTGCTTCAAGCTCCAGCGACATAGCCACACCACCCATATACACAAACCCCAATGTTTCTTCACTTGATACATTGATGACCCTCCCTTCCACTTTATCATTCATTGGCAATAACACAGTTCAAAAACCCATGACTCCACCTCTCCAGCCCAACAATATGGCTACTAGGAACAAGTATCCAACTCCTTTCAACAATGAAAATTCATGTCCTTCTTATTCAGTAGATAAGAAAAACTCCATGGCAGCAATGAGGGAGATGATTTTCCGTATAGCAGCAATGCAGCCTATTCATATAGACCCAGAATCCATTAAACCTCCAAAAAGAAGGAACGTGAAGATCTCTAAGGATCCTCAGAGCGTGGCTGCCAGGCATAGAAGAGAACGGATAAGTGAGCGGATAAGGATACTGCAAAGAATTGTTCCTGGAGGCACCAAAATGGATACAGCTTCGATGTTAGACGAAGCAATTCATTATGTCAAATTCTTGAAAAGACAAGTGCAATCTTTGGAACAAGCTACTGTTAACAGGCCAATGGGTGTTGGGTTTCCAAGTGCAGCCATGGCTAATGTGAGCTACTCCTCTTTGGTTAAAGCTTGCCGGCCATCTCATCATCATCATCAAGTTGTGGGCAATATGAAGATGTTTACATGAGAGATAGATTTTAGACTTTAGTTGATTTCTGTAAAGGGTAGTCGTGATGTTTCTGGTTTACTTGTAAAGTGTGAATTTTACTTGTTCTTAAATGCCATAGAGAATTTCATTATATGCTTTCATTAACTCTGATTAAACTTCTGAATATTCTCTATATCTCTATTAATCTTGACACCCATATATATTATATTACTTATCCATCCAACCAAAATAAAAAATAAAAATCACTCGCCATTCAAACTTTTATCAGCAAAACATGCAATGACTTCAAGATCAATCATTAGAAATTTAATTAGGTAGTTTAAAGAAATTGGGAAAATTTTGTCATCCTTTGAGAATTTCCCCATTCAATGGAACTTACTGGTGCTTTGGGAGATTTTGACCATCGGCTATACAATATATACTCACGGGACTAGAAAGATGAGATTTTTTTGGTGAAGATATAAGCAGCATTTTCCTTTCAAATTTACTATTTCGCTCCTCCATGCATTGGAATTCCTTTCATTTTGAGCTTTACCTAGCTAAAGTTTATACCTATCCATAATATTCTGACATGATATTTATGTGAAAAAAAAATTGAAAGTTACAATATATTGATACTTGGTGGTCCATGTCAGTTTTGATTTTCTTGGAATTGTACTATAGTTTTCCATTTGATTCACTTAAATTAAATTTGTCTTGGAATATATATTCGTCCATCATATATATCTTCTACACGAAAACAGTAACTTAAACAGTGTTTTCTATTGTTTATATATGGAAAAGGTTAATAAAAGAAATCTCCAACGATCGATTATTGCTAACAATTGGCTTCGATTAGTCGGGCTAATTGAAAGGAGGTCGGCTTAAAAAAAACTTAAAGTGAATTTTTAAGTGAAGTTATTTTTTAAAAATGGTTTAATAAAAAATTTAAACTAATAAATTGATAGATTAAATGTGAAGAATAGTAATATAAAAAATTATTAAAAATATTATTTATAATTCAAATTTGATCGATATTTATTTAATAATAAAAATTCTATCAATATTTTTATTAAAAATGTCAATTAAAAAATCAAAATTTATTAAATTTTTTTTCAAATTGTACATATTTTTTGTAATGAGATTTCAGTGTATTAATTTAAATTTTTTATTTTAATTTTTATTTAATCATTTTTAATGAAAAAACTTTACGAATTTTTTTTTTAAAAACTTAATTTAAACCTTTCTCGAGCGTGTGAGACCTTGTTCTTGCCTTTTATATATATATTTAAGAAGAAATAGCGGAGGCAAGGCTCCCCGCTAGGAATAATGTCGCCACCCAAATAAAATTTTCTCTTTTTTTATCACCGGACAATAATTATGTTGTTTGTAAATAGAGTATTGGATTTTTGTTTTGTGAAATTAAGGTTTAATTCCTGATAATTTAAAAGATAAAACAAAGGAAAGGAAAAGGATAACCAACTTTGAAAAAAAAAGAAAAGAAAAGGATAAAGGAAAAGCAGAACAATCTTTTTTTTTTCCTTTCTCTTTTTTATCTTTTGTTTGGTCTCTATTATTAAATGAGGGGAACGTGGGAGGTAGGTTGCCTCCCAAGGCAGGGTCGACTAGTGTTAGTGTTCATGACTCCAGGGTCATGCCTCTCTCACATAGCCACATCCCCCTCCATCTAAGTTAATGAATTCCATTTAGAATAAGAAATAGTTAAAGAAATATTAAAAAAAAAAAAGGAAACAAAATGGTCACGCCTAATCTCATCAAGTAGACCCATGTGAGATGTCCCACTAAGGCCCCAACATCCCCACAAAGGGTTTTGATTATTCAAGAGAGGGTAAGTAATTAGGACTTTCCCCTATATCGATTCCACCGGGCAATGTTCATCGCATTATCCCCTCTCTGACACATTCTATCTTTTGTTCTATCATTTCATACAATCCATTTTATCATCTCCCTCTTTTCTTTTCTGATAAGTTCTCATGTTCTCTGTGACAGGATAAAAGGGTATATATTCATGAAATTTCATTTTCCATATTGGTCTTACCTTCAGGTTTAATAAATTCATACAGGCATAACTAACTGATTTATTGGTAATTTAGGAGGTGAGGTTATAAATGAAATCGTGACAGAAACCTCCAAAGCTTTGTCAACAATTGCATGATTTGTTAGTAAAGTATTGAATTTTTAATTTTAATGATTAAGATTCAAATCTTGATAATTTCAAATAAAGAAAATCTAAATCTTTTAAGTGTAAGTTGATGCATATAACTTCTTATATTATATATTACATTAATAGAGACAATAAAAAGGGTTAGTTGGTTGGTTGGTAGGTTGGATTATTGGGTGGGAAGGGGGAGGAATTAGATCTAATGTTTTTGGACCGAAATTCTTCTATTCCTTGTCGCTTATGCAAGGTGAAATGCATGAAGATGCTGTAGGATCTTTGACAAAATTTGGATAATGTTATAACGATTTTGACACCGCAAGACGTAAGAAATTTTAAAATTCAAAAAAGACAAGAGAGTCGTCACCAATCTTTTTTAAGGTGTGATTGATCACTCAAAAATTTATCTTTTTAACAGAATTATAAAAATGGGTTTAAAGTTTATTAAAAAGATAAATTTTAGTATATGAAAAATAGGTTGGATCCAAGAGTTGATTAAGCGTGGAGAAGGATTAACACCCTACAACGCTTATAAATTGGTACCAATTAATTATATGCTATTTTAGATGTTGGATGAAATAGTTTTAATATAAAATTTAATAATAATCCCTTTCGTTTGACAAAATAAAATTTTGCTAAAGCTCTTTATTTAGGAATATTGAGAAAATCTTTAAGTTAAATACTTATCTTCAAATTCTCCAACATCTAGGTAGAATTTAAAATAACTATTTTCGCTTAAGATTTAACACAACAATCCTTAAAATAAAATAACACTCTTTATAAAAGATAATTGTTGGTGACTCTCTAACATCTAGATAGAATACCAAGAATTATTTCTTTCGGAATGTTTTTTTAATTTTTTTTATAATATCACAAATAAAATTTATTGTCTTTTTTTCATTATAAAAATTTTATCATCAAGTAGTAAATAAAAATTAAAGATAGAATAATGCAAATAATTACCAATGATAACACGCTAACGTATGTATGCCAATAAATGCTATATAGGATGAAATGCAATTTTAAAGTTGGGTTCTTAAGTATAATGAAACCACCCCGACTCTCCAACATCTAGACAGAGCTTAGGTGCGACTGTTTGTATTTAAGATTTCAATTTACTATTATACTTTTTATTTATTGATCTTATTATTAATGCAAATTAAGAATTCATGTGAAGAAAAATTTAATGAAATAAAGTTTCCTAAACACTCCATCATCTAGGTGGCATTCGGGAACAAATCATTTTATGTGAGATTTTCACACGTATCCTTAAAGTTTCGAAATAGATTTAGGGTATAGGTTTAGGTTGAGGTTTCAAAGCCTATATAATTTTTAGGTAATGATTAGGGATTGTGTACTAAGTTTAGGGTTTTTTTAGAAATTAAAATTTTAAGGTTTTGGATTTTAAGTTTAAAGAAAATGTGAACATTTTTAAAAATCTCAAATATCTAGACGGACTTTCAGAGCAAGTTCGATTTTTATTATTTTTAAAAATTAACCTTTTTTATTATAAAGAATTAACATTAATTTACTTAGTTAAAATTTTTTTTTAATAATAATTTCCAACATCTAGGCAGAATTATTATTTAAAGCACGATTGTATTCCCTCCAACATCTAGGCAGGGAAATTTTTTTTTATTATGCGTATTTAATATTTGGATTATTAAAAAACATTAAAAGGAATTAAAAAGTTTTAAAATTCATTTGGATTTTTATTATTGTTATTGTCATTTAATTATTTTAATTGTTAATTATTACTATAAAACAAAAAGTATTTATTTTAATAAACTCTAAAAGTTTTAAAGCATGCGTAAATAACAATAATAATAATGTTAAAAATGATACAAATAAATAATATATAAAAATAATAATAATAAAATTTTGAAAAAAAAAATTACCTAAATCGGACCGGTCAACGACCGGTCTGGTAGGTTCTGTTTGCAGGGGTTCAGACCGATTCAAATTGGTTCAATGCGGTTCGTCCGGACTAGCTGAAGGCTAGCTGAGGCGAGTTGGTAGGTCGATTTACGTTGATCTCGAGTCAGGTAATTGGGCACGCGTAGATCCTTCTTGCTCTATACGACGTCGTTTTGCTTATTTGTTTCCTTATAAAATGCTCTTTTTTTTTTAGTTCATTTTTTCCTTCCTTAAAAAAAAAAAAAAACTCTCAGCTTCAAAAATCTTCTCTGGCTTTGCCAGAAGCTGGCGTCGTGTTGTCGCGTCGGCCACTGCCTAAAGTCACCATCGACGACAGTTACCAGTGGTCGTCGGTGACTGAAAAACTTCAAAAAACCACCAAAAATTATCTTCGACGTCCTCTTTTCGAATTTGATCTCCTTTTTACCAAAAATAACCTCGATAGTAGCAAATCGGAGCTATGAAGTTTCTGGATTTTTTTTTTCTTTTTTTTTTGAAACTTGAACTGATGATTTCTCTTTTTTTGTTGCATGATGGCTTTGGCGCTAAGGTTCCTCTCTACGGGGAGGATTGTGTTATGGGTTTTTGTTTTTGTGGATCTATTTTGATTTTTTTTTTGGGTTTTCTGATAGGTGAGGATGGAAAAGTGTTTTGGTGTGGGGAGTTTTACACTTTTTGGGTAAGGGAGAGCTTGATGTTTCTGTGTCTGTCTGGGTGTCTGAGAGAGCCCGAAAGGGGAAAAGTTAGGTGCTTTATAGGGCTGAGAATGGTGGTGACAGTAGGGTGGGTCTGGCAAGGTATGGGTGGTGGTTTTAGGCAGTTAGGATCAGTGAGATGCAGAGATTCTGATGTGACTGGGGATGATGATGACAGTAGGGTGGGTGGCCAGTGGTGCCGTGTAAGGCACCATTGTCATCCTGATTTTTTTTTGTATCAGTTATCA